TTTATAGTGGTTTGGTCAAACTAGACCTACATCCACTCCTTGAAGACTCTCTCTTCAGGTATTACACTATACCAAAGTGACTCTCCTTTTACTCCCACAATAAGGAGGAGAAGCCCTTATAATAACCTTTATTCCAGTAAACCCCGATGTGGCAGAGTATCATCATTCTTTCTCACCGTCCTAGTGACGGCAGAGAACTGACGCCCTTTCACACCCTCCTAGTGTTGATATAGTATTATCATCCTTCCAAACACTCCTAGTGTCAGCAGAGTATTGTCTCTCTTTTTGGGATGAACAAGTATGTAGCCATTTCATATTTTGGATGTTGTCTGTAAGAATGTAACTTTATACAGTATGAATATTTTAATCAAAAATTTTGAAGGCATAATCCAATTAACTTCTTTCTAGAGGAACACTCAGGTCAAATCATCATGTACAATCTCATAATCATACAGTATGATTAGTTTTTAAAAAAATAAGTTTTAGTCTAACTCTCCAAGTGTATGTGTGCACGGTTACTCAATTACCATCACACTCTCTCAGACTCAAGAAAAATAAAAAAAAATATAGACTACAATTACAATAAACCCTAATATAATATGTATTGAAGTCTTCAGCAATCTTGAGTATAATTTTTTCTGAAATATTAGTACACACAACAACAACAACAACAACAACAACAACAACAACAACAACATCAAGCCTTTATCCCACTACATGGGGTTGGCTACATGAATCCTAACAAGCCCGATGCATTCCTCCACTTCAACCATCCAACTTGAATTCTGTTGATAATATCCCCATCAATTTTACCATCACTCTAAACAATAGATCCGAGATATCTAAAATGTGTACTCTTATTAATGACTTGATCTCCCAAAGTCACAATCCCCTCACTAGTTCTATTGCTACTAAAATTACACTCTATATATTCCGTTTTAGATCTACTCAAGCGAAAACCTTTAGACTCTAAGGTTGACCTCCATAATTCAAGTTTACCTTCGACTCCCTCTCTAGTCTTATCAACAAGAAGAATATCATCAGCAAAAAGCATGCTCCAAGGTACATCCTCTTGCAAATGACTAGTGAGAAAATCCATGACTAAAGCAAAAAGATTTGGGCTTAAGGCTGATCCTTGATGTAACCCAACCGAAATAGGGAAATACTTGGTCAATCCACCCTGTGTTTTTAATGTCTAGTGAAATATTAGTACACACAAATAACACAAAAAATTTTAATATATGTTAGTAGAATAGTAATCTACACAAAAAGATTTTGAATCATTAAAAACACATGTGACATAAAAATATAGTTTTTTAAAACTAAGTTGTAACATAGGGTTTATTGGTCAAACTTGGTTGACTTGGTCAACCAAGTTTGTGAAAGTTCGTTAGGGATGTTAGGCCCTTAAGAACTAGCCCGAGGCTAACCAAGAGGGGGGTGAATTGGTATTTAAAAATTCTTTAAGCAAAAGAACAAATATCATAAATAAAAGTCACCACAGAAAAATAAGTGCGGAAAATTAAAGTGCGGAAGCAGTAAAAAGAACACAAGAGTTTATAGTGGTTCGATCAACTTGACCTACATCCACTCCCCGGATGCACCCTCCGAGTATTGCACTACCAAAGTGACTCTCATTTAGCCCCCACAGCTAGGCGGAGAAGCCCTTACAAAAACCTCCTTTTTGCCACCCCGGCAAGGCAGAGAACCCCACTCCTTTTGCTTCCTCCTGAAGCAAGCAAAGAACATCGATCAATCGCTGAAGCTTACCTCTCCCAACCCTTCCAAGGACAAGAGACTCTAGTGGAAGAAGAAGTGGAACAATGCTTGGAGCAACCCTTGTGAACTCCCTCATAAGCTCCCCCTCACAAGATCCTCTCTCTCTCTCCCTCTCTCCCTCTCCTTTAGGTTTTCTCAGGTAAAGACAGCAGCCAAGGATGATTAAAAATGTTGAACAATAGCTCTTAAATATAAGAGCTTCAAGGGAGCTCAATAAATGCAACTTGCCGACTTTATCATGCAGGACGATTATCCTATCATCATGTACGATCAGTTCAAATCACAGATGATCGGCCAGAACATCGCTCTGAAAATGAACTTGATGATTGAAAGTAGGCTTGATCGTTCAGGCCAATCTCACGATCATCCCGGATAATCAGTTCAAATCAGAGGAAAATCGTCCAGAACATCGTCCGGAATTCGAGCTGTCTGATCCATATCGGCGAGAACATCACCCAAAATTTATGCTAGATGATATTTATCATCTAGGAGAAACTAAGGGTTTTTGAATAGATCATCCAGGCAGATCCTACGATTGTCTAGGATGAGGTGATCGTATCAATCATCTTTAATTGCTTCCTTGATTGCCGGATCAATTTAGGCATAATTGTACCATATCGTCCAGGCCGATCCAATATCGTACTGGCCGATTTCCAAAAATACAGAATGCTTAAATTGATCATGGCGGCTATTTTTTTCTATTTTGATCCTATCGTCCTAGCCGATACAACTATCATCCTGTCTGATCGGCTAATGACAGTTGCAATTAAGAAACCTAATTAGGGTTTTTGTTTTAAACCATATCTTCCAGGACGATATAAATATCATCCGGGATGATGTGAGTAAAAATAGAAATTCTAAATCACTCAAGTGTGTGTGTAGGGTTACTTAGCATCAGACATTTCACAAGATTATAATTAACTCAAGAAAGGGAAAAAGAAAAAATACAGACTGACTCAGACCTAGTCTACCCAATCTTGAGCTAGCTCTATTTGTCGTCTGATCTCTTGGCCCTGAAATGTCAGCAGAAAAAGGCAGTCAAAGTGTTTGTTAACATCAAAATCATAATCCTTGAAACCAAGTTTGCAACAATCTCCCCCTTTTTGATGATGGTAAACACTTTCATGATCATAGTAGTGTAATTCAAGATCATAGCAGTGTAATTCAAGAATTTCAAAAATTCAGAGTAGAAGCAAGTGCAAGTATAAACTAACAAGTACAAACATATTACTCCCTCTTTTGACATCTCAAGAAGGAGGAGGGAACTAAAAAGCAACTAAAGCTACTATAAAAAACCATAAGCAACTACAGAAAATAGAATCTAAGACTAAAAAGGTGAGGGACCCTGATCATCAAACGAAGGTGGTGGTGGTGGTGATGGCTGCTGAAAGAAATTGGTCATGGAAGCAAACTATGAGCCAAACCAGGCCATGTACTGCTCGTGCTGATGTTGCTGGTGTGAAGCATAAGCATCAAAATGGGCTACATCCTCATCATGCTACTACTGGTGAGCTACAAAAGGGTCGAATCGGGTCTCCAACCGATCAAATCTCTCTACTAACTGATCAAACTGTGAGTGCTGGCAGAGAGGAGCAGGTTTAGGAATGGGAGCGGGAGCCTCCTCCTCCTCAGCCCCCTGAGGTTCCCCATCCCCTGGGTGGAGATGAGTACTGTGAAGGATATTGAAAGAGCTATTTGAGTAGCAAGGAGGCTGAAGGTCGTGACGAGCAGGATATTGAAGTTGATATTTAGTTTCAAGAACATAAGCTATGAGGTGTCCTAAAACTAAGTTGGGTTTCCTCTTATGGCCTGGGTCGTGGATTGTTGTCAAATGATCAATGTATCAAAAAATTAAATCAGTAGCATTAAACTCTCTACGGGCCATGATGTAAAAGGTAGTCAGAGAAAGTAGAGGAGTGATGTAGACTCGATCCTCGACTTTTGGAATAATGGAAGTGCTAAGGACACGCTGGATTGTATTAGCATATTTGACTAAAGAGGTAGTATCTCCAACATGAAAGGGTACATTAGTCTGGCAAAAGAAATGATTTGGTGAGGTCCAGTCAAAATCAAGATCTGAGATGATTTATGCAGCTTATCCCCAGTGGTGGATAGCTACAACAGTTCAACACAATCCTAATATGTGATCTCGACCGGGCGTCGATTCACATAGGAGGTTAGGGCAGTGTAAGCAGAGTTTATACGAAGATTTGCAAAAAATTCAAGAAGAAGTTCAGAAGAAAAAGGGACTGCGAGGGTAAGAATGAAATAGAGAGAAGTGTGAGTAAAGAGGTCTAATACAGGATATGAGAGGTGAACAAGGTTGATCTGGAGAGAGTGATGCCACATTCTTTATAACGATGGTATGCAGCTTGATCTTCTGCTTCCTGAAAATGAGGGTCAAGCATAGCCCTTGAAGAGCTCCCAGAAGATTATCGAACTCGCTTTCCACAAGCCATAGCAAGAAAAGAGTAAGCAAAAGAGAGAAAACGAGAAGCTTGAGGTGAAAAACAATGGCTGGAAGGCCTAAATTCAAAGGAACGGCCACATCATCCATAATAATCGTAGAATCGTCCAGGATAATCTGGTTCAATTATTACGTACAGGTCGATTGGTCAAAAAGTCGATCCGATCGTCTGAGCCAATCAGATATCGATCAGGACGATTAGACACAAGCGATCATCCCTAATAGTCAAGCCGGACGACCATTGAAAAAGTATATTGTCCGGGACGATTAGGTGTATCGTCCAGGACGATGCACAATAATTGATCGTACCAGTAAAATTTAAAACATTTTAAATCTGGGCCACGTGTATTTTCCAGGATGAAAAGTGGATCGGCCAGGACGATTGTCTAATAATGGATCATTCGAGGCGATTTTAAGGATTTTAAATGTACTGACACGTAGATCATCCAGGATGATCCAGTGTATCGGCTAGGACGATGATCATAACTACATCTGCCTTGATGAAAATTATATCGGCCAAGACGATCAAGATGATTATAACAGAGTTCGATCAGATTGTCTAGGACGATAAGGTATCATCCGGGATGATGATTTACAGCAAGCTCAAAAAAGTTCAGCAGATGAAATTTTGAAGAGAAATTATCATATCTTCTAGGACGATA